TATTTGTGTCATAAAAGGAATTTGGTAGAATTCCTTTTTTGCCTTTTTTTCCAAATAGTTTATACAGCATTGGAATTACTTGTTGTTTGGTAGAATTCACTTGTAGAATCCATCTGATCCTGGAGACTTTTTTTTTTTAAAGGAACTCATTGATGGCTTGTTCAATTTTTTTTCTAAAATAGGAATATTTAAGTATTCTACTTCCTCTTCTGTTAATCTGGGGGATTTATATTTTTGTAAATATTCATCCATTTCATTTAGATTGTCTTATTTATTGGCTTATAATTGGGCAATATAGGTCCTAATAAATGCTTTAATTTTCTCTTCATTGATGGAGAATTCAGCCTTTCCATTTTTAATACTGGCAATTTGGTTTTCTTCTTTCTTTTTTTAAATCAAATGAACCAATGGTTTATCTTCTCCCCCATAAAACCAGCTTTTAAATTTATTCATTTAATGGTTTTCTTACCTTCAATTTTATTCATCTCTTCTTTGATTTTCAGGATGTTCAATTTAGTGTTTAGTTGTGGATTTCAATTTGTTTTCTTTCCATTTTTTGTTTCATGTTCATTTCATCAGTTTATTCTGTCTCTATTTTGTTGATATAAAGAGATATAAATAGAGATATAATTTTTTCCCTAACTACTGCTTTGGCTGCATCCCTTAAATTTTGGTATGTTGTCTCATTTTCATTTTCTTTAATGAAATTATTTACTGTTTCTATGATTTTTTATTTGACTCATTCATGCTTTAGAATTAGATGATTTAGTTTTCAATTATTTTTCCAACTATGTTGCCATGTACCTTTATTGAATATACTTTTTATTGAATTATGATTTAAAAAGAATGTATTTAATATTTCCGCTTTTTTGCATTTGGTTGTGAGGTTTTATGTCTTAATACATAGTCAGTTTTTGTGTAGATGTCATGTACTGCTGAGAAAAAAGACTATCATATTTAACTTTCGTAACATCCTATTCAACTCCTTAACTTCTCACTTGCTTATTTCTTAGTTAGATTTATCTAATTCTTAGAGGGGAAAGTTGAGGTCCCCCAGTAGTACAGTTTTATTGTTTATTTCTTTCTGTAACTCTTTTAACTTTTCCTTTAAGAATTTGGATGCTATACCATTTGATGACTTCATTGTCTATGATACCTCTAAAAAAGATTTAGTTTCCTCGCTTATCTATTTTTGTTTTTGCTTTGTCTGAGATCATGATTGTTACCTCTACTTTTTTTTTTGTACTTCAGCTGAAACATAACAGATTCTCCTCCAGCCTCTTACCTTTATTCTGCATGTGACTCTTTGTTTCAAGTATGTTTTGTGTAAATAACATATTGTAGGATTCTGGTTGTTAATCCACTCTGCTATCTGCTTCTTTTTTATAGGTCCTTGCTCAATTTCCAGCCTATTTCTTGATGTTTAATTCTATGTTAAAGTTCGTTTCTGCTCCTATGGTGGAGGTGAAACTGTCCAAAACATCACTGATCTCTTGGCCTGTCCATGGGTCTGAGAGTAACTACAATTACTGTTTTCTGCCTTGGAACTCTGACTAGTGTTCTGGTTCTCTGCGACTGGGATTTCTAATGTGCAAATGCTCCTCCTTGCCCTAGGACTATGACCTATAACTTAGTATGAGCAATGCAACAGGGTCCTGCACCCTGTGGCAACAAAGGATCCCTTGTAATCTCCTTCTGACCAGTTGTCTGACCCTCTTATCATCTTGGGCTGAGAGCTCCAGGAGACACTGCCAAAAATTCAGTTGCTCCCAAGGCCTGCTACTGGCTAGTGCTGGTTGTGGTCTGCTACTTATTGCCTTGTGCAAGAACCTGGACCCTCACTGCTCACTTGTCAAGTGTGGCAAGCATTGGACTACATTCTCCTCTTGCCTTTGAGACAGAACTATCCTGATAATCTTTTAAGTTGTCTTGGGCTAGAATATTGTGTCACCATGTGCTTTTGTTGATTTTGCTGCTCCAGAATTTATTTTGAGGCATTATTTTAAAATTATTTGGAGGGGAATTTGGGAGAGGTTGATTGAGTCTTCTACTATCTTTTCTCTGCTTTTCCAAAGCAGACCAGTTCATCTTGTATATAGTTTGTTTGTACAAAGTTAATCATTTTAAAAGCAACTACTATGTACCAGGCACTGTACTAAGCCCTGGTAATACAAAGAAAGGCAAGAAAGCAGTCTCTGTGTTCGAAGAGCTCAAAGCCTAATGAGGGAGACCACATGAAAACAGCTTTGCACAAACATGATATATACCATAAGGAATCAGACTGCCTGACCTCCAGGCCCTGCATAGGTATCTCAGTTTCTCCTTTCTATATCTGGGGCTCTCAGAGGTTCCTCACTTCCAAGCTGGGAGTATAACAACAGGGAATGTTGCTTCTTTTCCAGACACAGACAAACTCCGACTCAGGGGAGGAGAGACCCCATGCTCTGGACGAGTGGAGATCTGGCACAATGGCTCTTGGGGGACAGTATGTGATGACTTATGGGACCTAGCAGATGCTCATGTGGTTTGTCAGCAGCTGGGCTGTGGCTCTGCTTTGCATGCTGTTGGAGGTGATGTATTTGGCCCAGGAAGTGGAACCATCTGGCTAGATGATGTACAGTGCACAGGGAAAGAGTCCTTTCTATGGGATTGCCCTGCAAAGCCTTGGGGGCTGCATAACTGTATTCACAAGGAGGATGCTGGTGTCAGGTGCTCGGGTGAGTGTGAAGGACATAAGATGGGGCTGGGAGCTCTGAGAACAGAAATTGAGCAGGAGGACATGGGGCTAGAGTTTATATATAAATGGAGCTTCCACAGGTCTGTCCTCTGGTACCAGGGGAAGCTGTGATCTGGTCCTGGGGTCATAGAAATTAGCACTGAAGGTAAAATCAATGGTCCTCATACCAATGTCTTTATTTCACAGAGGAGGAAATAGAAGTCCAGTGAGAGTATGCGCCTGCCACAAGGTCACACAGACTAACAATTATAATTTGTTGGGAAATTTTTGAACACAGGTCCTGTGACTCCCAGAACTACAACATCTCTTCTGTCCACCAGAGCTCTCTCCAGGCTTGCAATGGGGAGACAGTATGTAGGGGATTTGGGATCCTTTCTGATCTACTTGAATAGAGTATTTGGGGCACATAGTCTCCCCGTTTTTGGAAGCTCTCCATGCCCTACAAATTCCTAGCCAGACTGGTATCTGGAGATTTCTCTGTCTGTCTCACTTTTCTGACCTGAGCTGAAAAAAATGTCTCATTCTCACTTTTTCTTAGATGTTCTGTATCAGCACTTGGTCTGGTGCATTTTTATATCTGCTTGGAGGAGTTTTTTGGGAGGAACTATGTGCTAATTCCTGTTATTCTGTCATCTTGACTCTACTCCTACCTCCTCAGTTGTATTGTTTTATATAAAGGCATAAATGTAGACAAAAGGAGATGGAGTCTCCATTCTAAAGTAAACAAACCTTGCAAATGAGAGTATACCAATTATGAGGCGCAGCAATAAGGCTAACTGCAGAAGTTGGGAGGGATCATTTGGAGTAGGTGCTTCATTTACTGATATTAATCATTTCCTCTGGTTAATTACATCTTCATGTTGCTACTATTCCTTTGTGTGAAGGGGTCTAATACAACTAAGATATACCAATTCCATTCCCAGTAAAACCCAGAGAGATTTATCTTGGGGCTACTGCTCTAAGTACATAATTTTCTGATTATTACAAAATAGAACCTTTTCTGATGTCCTCTAAGGATGGTTTCTGGCAACCAAGAACATCCACTCTGTCTTTATCATAGTCCATTGACAAATCCACAAAGATTATGTGCATCATCATATGCACAAAATTCTCTGTAGCAAATGTACAGATGCTACAGTCAAGTGTCAAAGTATTGCAGGCTTGTTTCAGACTCAAAGATTGAAGAGAATGGTTTGTAGAGTAGAACTATCAAATCACAAAAAGATTCATTTGCAGAAGTGATTACTTCCTTTCCAAGTCAGCAGAAATGTCACCTGTTTTTATCTCTCTTTCTCTCTCTCTCTCTCACTCTCTGCCAGAATAATACTGACCTGGCCCCACAATTTAGAAATCTATATATGTGCATTGTACTTCATTTTACTGGCAGTTGTATTTCAATCAAACAAGTTCTTTTCTCGTCCTTCCTCCCTGATTTCTTACTGTGGTAGTGGACCCTGATGTCTTATCACAGGGCTAAAGGAGTGTGTGTGTTAAATGTCCTTATTTCTTAATGCCTGAGTCGTAGTTCTTAAACATTAAAGAAGTACCAGGAAATAAGCCATGGAAAAATATGGAAACTATCCTTGAAAAATGGAGTGCAGAATTATACAAACCACCTTGGTTATCTCAAAAAGCCTTTATGAAGAACTCAAAGCAACTGAAATATAGTCTATTCTAAGCATCCCTTATCTGAAAAAAAGGAAGAAAAAGATGAACAAAGCCCCAGAAAATTAAGAAGAAAAGAAAACCTATTTAGAGTAACCAGGTTCTTAGGGCGGAGGAGATCGTTACTTCTTTAATGGTGAGATATCACATGAGTCTAATCCTCCACTCTCGGTGAGAGGCATCCATCCACTCTGCTGTTTCCATGGGCCTCTCCCCTGCCTAAAAGAGTACAAAGATTGCATTTTCCTACATATGTCAGACATGCTTTCCCAAAGAGTACCAGGAATTAAGAACCTTCAGTTTTATTTCAGGTTCAATCATAGTCAACATGCTTTCAAGGTATTAAGTGTCATGTGCTCAGTAAAGAAAGTTCCTATGCTTCTTCTCCCTTGGGAATATACAAGACAGAGTCTCACATAATTAATTGTATCTCTTTCCTCATCAGGGAAATCTTATCATTCAGTGCCACTCACTGGAGTTCTTTCTTGCCTTTCCAGGATTTGTCCAGCTGGTTGCAGGGGATGGGCCCTGTGTTGGGAGGGTTGAAGTCAATTCTGGAAAAAAACAGAGCACAGTCTGTGATTGGAATTTTACTTTTTCTACTGCCAAAGTCATCTGTGCTGAGTTAGAGTGTGGGACTGCAGTCTCCATCATGAAAAGTGCTCACTTTGGAAAAGGAAATGGACACATCTGGGATACAGAATTCCAATGTAACGGAAGTGAACCGCTTCTGTCATTGTGCCCCACAGTACCACTTCCACAGGGAAAATGCAGTCACAGCATGGATGTTGGAGTCATTTGTTCAAGTAAAGCTTTCACAATGTTTTTTATGCTGCTCCCACATTGTACTTGATACTGAGATTAGAAAGTCACAATCACCTTTCTAAAGCCCTATCTCCTTCTCCCCAGAGTACACAGACTTTCGTCTGATGAATGGAAGCTCCCAATGTGAAGGAAGAGTGGAGATCCGAGTTCTGGGGACCTGGAGAACTCTCTGTGACTCCCACTGGGACCTGGCAGATGCCAACGTTCTCTGCCGTCAGCTCAACTGTGGTGTTGCCGTGGAGCCTCCAGAAGATGTGTATTTTGGCAAAGGAAGTGTCCTGGTCATAGGGGATACATTTTATTGCACAGGCACTGAGTCTCACTTATGGAATTGTTCTGTGATTATTCTGGGGACTTCTCCATGTTCCAAAGGAAAAACTGCTTCTGTGATCTGTTCAGGTTAGTGAAGGGAAATCTCTAATTTGGACTCAAAGCGTATCTCTAGGTGATGGGCCTAACTTGGCAGTTGTATTTCAAAGAAACACATTCTTTTCTCTTCTTCCTCCCTGATTTCTTATTGTTGTGGTGGGTCCTCATAACCTATCATAGTGTTAAAGGAGTGTTTCTTAAATGTTCTTATTTCTTAGCACCTGAGTCCTACTTCTCAAACATTCCAGAAGTAGCAGGAAATTAACCTTGGGAAAATATGGCAACTGTACTTAAAATATGGAGTGCAGAATTAAAGAAACAAACTTGAATATCTCATGAACCTTTTACAGAGGGTTTGTAATGATATGCACAGGAAGGAAAAGTATAAAAATGTCTACACCTGTCAACAGTCAGGTAACCCTTTTCAGTGTCCAGAGGAGAGCCATGGCATTTTCTCTCTGATAGCAAGTATGAAGAGTCCTAACCACGTTGCTGGGGATCTTGTACGGCATTTGTACACATTTACTTTATAAATGCCATCGTTCATTCATGACTTTTTTGGGTAGGAATTTTCAAGTAGGGAAGATTTCTTGTGATCCATCAACTCCTTTAGGGGCAAGTGTAGACTTGTACTAATGTGTAGTACTGATAGTGGGAGATATACCGATTCGGGAGATTGGTAGGAAGGACCAAGAATGAACAAACTTAAACAGGAAGGACTAGGAATTGTCTAAATTCACATGAAGGGTATTTCCCCAGATCAAGATTCTACAAGACCAGAATACATTAGAGAAGGTCATAGACACTGGGATACTATTCGATATTGGGTGGACCATATTACAGCCATCTTAGAATAAAATTCCAGGTCTTTGTTCCTTGAAACTTGTGACCCTGTTCTGAAAGGGACATTTGCAAAAGATCTCCTCATTGGTGGAAATTGATTTCATGAGGGTCAGAGTTGGTGAGAGCTGGAGAAAAGACAGACCCTGGTCAGAAAGAAAGAGAGATCCTGAGCCAGAAGACCAGCATCTCTCTTCTCTCCAGCTCTCACTAACTTCATCTCATGAAATCAATTTCTGGAAATGAAGAGATTCTTATGCAAACAGACCCGTGAGCCAAAGATTACACAATTTTATGTTCTCTATATTTGTCAGAGGCAGTAGGATTTGAATTAGGGTAATAAGTCAGGGCCCAGAGTAAAACATTTAATCATGGCTCAGAGGAGCAGGATTCTGCAATGAAATGATGGTATCCATTTGATCAGTTCAGGTCAGTCAGAGATCAGGGAGAAAACTTGAGCGAATAAATAGTGAGGTGTATGAATGAAATGAGTGAGGAAAAAAAGGTTCGTGCTCCCCAGCTTATCAATTTATTGAGCAATACATACCAATTGCTTAACAAATCAGGACCAGTGGCCCTTTTCAGCTTTGGCACTAAGAATACAGGGGAGATAAATTTTTGTGCATTAAAACAATTAATCAAATTAACAAAGATACAAAATTAGGTTATTTGATTTCTAATTGGAGGACAGATTAGGGGCTTTCCAAGTTGGGAAGGGGAAAACAAATAGGTGCAATTCTCTGAAATCAGAAAAAGAGGTGTCCCACTGCGCTCCAAGTGTCTAGATTCAATCAAACGAACATGGAAACAATAACTGATTGAATAGTACTGGGCTAATTTTCAGATAAAACATGTGGGTTGCTTGTCAGAAAGTTCCTCACATCAATCTTTGGATCTGACCGGGTTTCTAGTCAGCACAACCTAGGTCCTTATTTAAGTATCAGGTGGAGGTGGTCCAGTTCCCATTCATGCATGACTAGGTTCAAAAGATGCAATAATGTTTTCTCCCAATTTTCAAAACTGAATAAAGTTTTCTCACAAGATAGAAATTGTACCAGACCCGTAAGTGAAGAGAAAGAGAACTGAGCTAGCTCCAGAAATGAATCACAAGATGGAGTCAGTGTGGTTGACTCAATTCCCACTACCATTTGCTAGTCTTATCCCCTCAGTAGGAAAGTCCTGCAGAGCAGGTGAGAAGTTTGGGAACAGGTTAGAATTAGAGGATGCCCCTTTCACTTGTGCTACAGTAGCATCATCTTGGGAAGTCCTTTGTAGTGATGTGTAAAAGTGGAGAGTTCCTATTTTTATGGTTTTTTTTTCCTAAGTTAGTTAAGAAAATCAATCTATTAGCACTTACTAGATACCTAGTATTTGAAAACCTCAACCTTTTCTTTGTTGAGCTAGGGGAAGAAGGAATTCATATCTAGCTAGTCCAAGAGAGATACCTATCCCTCTAGAGCAGGAATTCTTGACTTTCTTTGGGCCATGGTCTCCCTTTGGGTAGCCTTGAGACTCCTTCTGAGAATAATGTTTTTAACTGATCTCCCCCACCAATTGATGTCAGAACAATCAGAAGTTTGATGGAACCTGATCATGTCCCCTAGACTAAGAATATTTAAGGGAGCAGATAAAAATAATTCTAGCCTGGTACCCCTTCTCTCTGAGGAGAGTAGAGCAGTGTCTGGCCCCAACCTCCTGCTTCCCCTCCTTGTGGGATTTGAAGTCTCCCTTGGAGAAGTGGAGGGGGGGAAGCTAGGTAGAGTGGCAGCTAGGTGGCATAGTGAATCGAGTGCAGGGACAGGAATTAGAAAGATCTGAGTTCAAATTTGATCTCATACAATTACTAGCTGCATGTCCCTGGGCAAGTCACTTAACCATATTTGCTTCCGTTTCCCCATCTGTAAAATGATCTAGAGAAGGAAATGGCAAATCCCTCTAATATCTTTGCCAAGAAAGCCCCAAATGGGGTCTTGAAGAGTTGGACATGACTGAAACGACTGACCTACAAAATCAGGGGGAGAAGAGGGCTAGAGATGTCTATTCTTCTTCTCTTTGAGCCAGATGGTGATACCCCCATGCTACATGTGAGAGGGACGGCCCTTTCTACACATGAGGTCTTACCACTCATAGACGTCTCTACACATAGGCCCCTGCTATAGGTGCGGTCCTTGTCACCTAATTAACAGACCAATTATATTGAAATATAGTTATCAACATATTTTATTTACTTTTTAAAGAACGATATTTTATTTTTGCTAATTACATGTAAAGATAATTTTAAACATTTATTTTAATTTTTTTTAGTTAGAAAATTTCTCCCTCCCTAAATTCCCCTCTCCCTAAGCAATTTTTATTAATAGATTTTAAAACAAATTCATGAAGTCCTAGTAAAAAACTCCTTCTTTAGAGATCAGACACAGCCTGGTGGGAGACATATGGTAGGGGGAAGCTAGCCTATAGAGTTCATAGGTGCTAGACCTAGCAGAGGGGGAGCAAAGCCTGAGGAAGGATGACCAGCTAGAAGTGCTGCAGCCTGTCTCTCAGAAGCTCTTCCTTATACAAGGTCGCAGACCTTTTAGGGCACTTTGTGTATGGAGGGTATGGCCGGAGCTGTGGGAGTGGAGCAATAGAACTGTCAATGAGAACAATTCTGTTAGACAATATAGAGCCAAAACATGCCTTCTTAGACTGGGAAATCCCTTTGTCCCTCCCTCACAACCTGTCTTCTTTCCAATTTCCTGACCCTCTCTTTCTCTCATCCAGTGCCTTTCCTCAAGATACATATTTACCTTATTTATCGCCTCCTGGCTTAAAACTTCCAGTCCTGGAGCTGAGCTGTGTGCTTTTTGCAGGAAACCAGACACAGTCCCTCATGTTCAATAATTCACAGTCTGACCAGGAAAAGGTACCTGTCCTATTTTCAGGTAGGAAAGAAAGTTGGACAATCTGAAGAAACCTTTCTCTTTCTTGGGGAAAACAGGAAATTAATCTGAATTTCTCCTTGTAGAAAATGGACAGCTTCGTCTGTTGAACGGAAGAGGTCCCTGCTCTGGAAGAGTAGAAGTCTATTACAATGGTACCTGGGGGACCATCTGTGATGATTCTTGGGAGCTGAGCGATGCCCACGTGGTGTGCAGGCAACTGGGCTGTGGAGTGGCTCTCAAAGCCATGGTCTCTGCTCACTTTGGACAAGGATCAGGGCCCATCTGGCTGGATGAGCTTAGCTGCTCTGGAAACGAATCCCACCTAGGGGAGTGCCCTTTCCTCCATTGGGGTCAGCATGACTGCAGGCACAAAGAGGATGCAGGAGTCCTCTGCTCAGGTCTGGGCCACACATATCCCACTAATACTGAGGGACTTGTGGGAGCACTGAGGAGGTGGGGTTTAGAGACCTGAGGGAGAAGGAGCTGATTCAGACAGGGAAGAGGACTTCCTGCCCCAAACAGAGCCCTTCCTAGAGTGCAGTTTCAGAGCAAGGCCTCTTATCTGAAGGATGATTTTATTTATCTCCTACAATTTTATAGGTGGGTCTCTGAACTTATGAAGATGTGTGTGTGTGTGTGTGTGTGTATGTGCACATGTGTTTCTTATACTTCATATCCTAGTAGAGTGCTATTCATATAACAGGTATATAATATATATCTGCTGATTTGCTATACTATTGGTGGTTCACAGATACACAACTATGAAACTGAGTAGTGAAATCACAGTAAAGGCATTCCTGTATTTTCCAATGGGGGAGACAAGATAGAGAGAAATGCTCAGAAATATAGAGGAAGGAATTCTGGAAAAAGAAGATCTGGGCTCTGTGCTATCCAGTGGAGACTCCCCAGCAGAGCCAGAGAACCTAATGCAATTTCCAGAGGGAAGAGACCCAAAGAATATAGGAACAAATGTCCCCTCTGATTGTGCCATACCTCCCTCTCCATTTACAGAATCCCTGGATCTCAGGCTGAAGAGTGTTGGCCATAAGTGCTCTGGGTGGCTAGAGGTTTTCTACAATGGAACGTGGGGTAGTATTTGCTCCAACTCCTTGGACTACGACACTGTATCAGTGATTTGCAGACACCTGAAATGCGGTGGCAAGGGAAATATTGAAACATTGCCTAGCCCCCCAAAAAGTTTGCAGGCCCGGTGGATAGACAAAATCAACTGCCAAGGTCAAGAATCCTTCCTTTGGCATTGTCCTTCTCAATCTTGGGACCAGAAATCTTGCGACCAGGGAGACGAAGCCTTTATCACATGTGAAGGTAACTACATCTGTCTCTTCTGTTGGACTCCTTTTTAATGGAGTTTTTAGTCCAAGTGAATTCAATTTGTAGACAATATCTAGACCCAAATTTATTTTAATCCATCCAAGTAAACAGTGAAAGAGATCTAGGTTAGTAGGAGTTATGTGACAAAGACCTCAGACTTTTTATTTTAGTTGACTAAAACCCTGATGTGAACAAATTGTGAGTCAGTCTTTCTCTCCTCCACATTTCCTGTACACATAGCAGGAGAATAAATATTCCTGCAAACACGGTAGCCTCCCAGTTCTTAACATTTCCAAAGACCTTCATCCAACTTAGAGACACAAAAAGATGGTCATACTCTTGATCTTGCTATCACCTACAAGTGTTCCACTTATATGTTTGTGAACTCTGAAATTCCTTTATCTAATCATAACTGATGGTCATTACACCTCTCCCTCTGCCTTGAAATCCCTAACTCTATTCTTCATTTTCACCATGACCTCCATTTCTCAGCTGTTTCCAAGGTCATCATTCCTGCACTGGCTAAACACTCCTGCTTGATCCCTTGGTGAACTGGTTCATCTCTATTATATCCTCTTCTATTGAGTCTCTTGCCTTCCTCTTATACTATCTCCAAACTTCCCTTCCAAGACTCAGTCCTAGTTTATTCCCACCATCCACTGCCTTTGCTCCTACTCAGGGAAACCTGAATGAAACTGGAGAAAATCATGAAACTGTGCTGACTGAGTTCACCACAAATATGTTACATAATCTTAACTGTAGCAAATGAATCTTTTATGCCTCCCTAATCAATTCCCTAGCCCACTCTTCATAGTGCCTTTTCCAAACTTTTTCATCCCTCTCCCGTTCCTTCTCATCCTTGTCTCATATTTCACTGAAAAAGTTGAAGTCATTCATCAAGAACTCCCTGTTCTTCCCTCCACATACCATCTCACCCAGATACTTTTCTATCACCATCTCTTCCTTCACCTCTGTCTCACATAAAGAGGCAATGTTTATCTACTAACTACTCCCCTACCAGATACTAACATACCTGTCTCCTCAATCTTCATAAAAACTCTCACTTAATCCACCCATTCCTGTCAGCTATCATCTTATATTTTCCCTCTCTGTGGTGGCTAAAATCCTTGTGAAGACTATCTATTATAGATGCTTCCACTTCCTTGTGTGTAACTCTCATCTTAGCTCTGCAATCTGACTTCAAGCTTCATCATTTAACTGGAACAGCTCTTTCTAAAATAATCAACCACCTCTTAATCACAAAATCTAATTGACTTATCTCAGTCCTCATGCTTTACAACCTCTCTGTAGCCCTTGACCCTCAATCACCATCTTCTCCTTCATATTCTCTTCTCTCTAGGATTTCATGACTCTGCTGTTTCCTGGTTCTCCTCCTACCTGTCTGACATCTCATCCTCAATCTCCTCAAGTCACCCCCACTAACCATTGATGTTCCCCCAAGGGTATGTCCTGGGCTCTCTTCTCTTCACACTCAATATTATCTTACTTGGTGAGATTAGCTTCACTAGGTTAAAGTATCACCTCTCTGCAGATGATTCTCAGGTCTATCTAACGCTTTGCTGTGTCCTGACCTCCAGTCTCACATCTCCTATTAGACATCTTGAACTAGATGTTCTGTAGACATTTTAAATTGAATATGTCCATAACTGAACTAATTATTTCTCCCTAAACCTTCCCATATTTTAAACTTTGCTATTACTGTGGAGGGCAACCCCATACTCCTAGTCACCTGGTCCTAAGTGTCATCCTCAACTCTTCACACTCTTTTGCCCTGCCATATGTAATCAATTGCCAAATCCGGTTGACGCTACTTTTGTAACATCTCTCATCCATACCCCCTTCTTCTTTCTGACACTGCTACCACACTGGTACAGGCTCATTCTGGATGATTGGAAGATCCTTCTGGATGGTCACTCTTTCTCAAGTCTTGCTTCATTCCAGTTCATCCTCCACTCAGCTGTTACATTCATCTTCCTAAAGCACAAGTCTGAACTCCCCATTCCCAAACAATAACTTTAGTGGCTCCATATTACCTTTGGGATCAAATATCAAATCCTCTCATTCAAAGCCCTTCATATTCTGGCCCCCTTTTACCTTTCTAGTCTTATAATGCTTTCCCTCCCTCTATACACTCTTCAGTTCAGTGACATTAATCTCTGCTGTTTTCTTTGTACGAGGCACTCTATCTTCTGACTGTGCATTTTCACTGGTTCTCCCCATGTCTATAATTCTCTCCTTCCTCCTCTTGCCTTCCCTGGCTTCATTTGTTGTTGTTATTCAATCATTTCAGTCACGTCCAGCTCTTTGTGATCCCATTTGGAGTTTTCTTGGCAAAATGTTTTTGCCATCTCTTTCTCCAGCTCATTTTACAGGTGAGAAAACTGAGGCAAACAGAGGTTAAGTGACTTGCCCAGAGTCATACAGTTAGTAAGTGTCTGAGGCCAGATTTGAACTCAGGAAGATGAGTTTTCCTGATTCGCGGCCCAGCACTCTATCCACTGCACCAACTAGCTGCTTCATTTAGGCCCCTGTTAAAGTCTTACCTCCCACACAGAAGGCTCTTATTGCTTTAATGCTTTATTTAATTTATTTAATGCTTATTCCTTTGATGCTAGTGCTGTCCCTCTATTGATTTTCTCCAATTTCTCCTGTAAGCTGTTTTCATGTTGTCTCTCCCAATTAGACTTTGAGCTCCTTGAAGGCAGGGACTGCTTTTTTGCCTTTCTCTGTGCTTTGTACAGCACCTGGCACATAGTAGTTGCTTAAAAATGGTTATTGACTTATTCACTTGACTCTTGTTCTCCTCAAACCCTCACCTGCACATTTAGAGCAGATGGCTAAGCCACCAAATCCTCTAAGGACTGAATTTCATTTCCCTCCCATCCTATAGTTGTCAAAATTTCTTGGCAACGTAAGTCATTTTTCTTCTTTCACTCCCATTGCAAAAAGAAGGACATCCCTATTCATGCCTATGGCTGATTACTCTCCGCGTGTCTTTTGTCTGGCACTGCTTTATCTAGCAGGCAGCCTCACTTTGCCTCATACTTCTTCACTCTCTCCATAGGCTGCTTTGATCTGTTTCCTTATAGAGTCTCTACTTTATGTTCATGTCTCTTCTCTCTAATTACACTTTGAACTCCCCAAAGACAGGCACTTTGTATTTTATACATACATACACACACACGCAAATACACATACATATGTATGTATATAACTTTATATATATAATACATATATTATATATATTTTTACTCAGTTGATAGCTCATAGTATGAATTCAACAAATCATTGAATGTGATAAAGATGAAGATGGTGCTATTTTGTATTTTGTGAGTAAATTAAGGGATCTTTGGGAATCCTGCCCTGAAACAGCAAAACCTGTTGCCCAAATGATATTTTAGGATTATCGTTAATCCAGCCATTTCCCAATGTCTTGTCTCTGCAGAAAGGAAGATCATTGACTGCCCGACCTCTGGTAACTGCACAGGTATCTCAGTTCCTCCCTCTCTATACCTGGGGCTCTCAGAGGATCCTCACTTCAAAGTTGGGAGTGTAACAGGGGATCCTGCTTCCTTTCTAGACACAGACAAACTCCGACTCAGGGGAGGAGAGACCCCATGCTCTGGACGAGTGGAGATCTGGCACAATGGCTCTTGGGGGACAGTATGTGATGACTTATGGGACCTAGCAGATGCTCATGTGGTTTGTCAGCAGCTGGGTTGTGGCTCTGCTGTGGTTCCCCAGGGAGGGGCTGCATTTGGCCCAGGAAATGGGATCATTTGGCTGGATGATGTACAGTGCAGAGGGATTGAGTCCTCTCTGTGGGATTGCCCTGCAAGGCCTTGGGGGCAGAATGACTGTAAGCATGAGGAGGATGCTGGTGTGACATGCTCAGGTGAGTGTGAAGGACATAAGATGGGGCTGGGAGTTCTGAGAACAGATATTGAGCTGGAGGACCTGGGGCTAGACTGTGCATATAAATGGAGCTTCCACAGGTCTGTCCTCTGGTACCAGGGGAGGCTGCAATTTGATCCTGGAGTCATAAAATTTAGAACAGAAAGTAAAATTAATGGTCATCATTCTAATTTCTTTGCTTTACAGAGGAGGAAATAGAAGTCCAGTGGGGTTATGTGACTACCATAAGGTCACACAGACTAACAAGTATAAATTGCTGGGAAATTTTTGAACATAGGTCCTGTGACTCCCAAACTTACAATACCTCTTCTGTCCTTTAGCACTCTTTCCAAATTTGTGTTGGGGGAAGGGATGTAGAGGATTTGGGAACCTTCCTGAGCTGTTTGAATAGCGTATTTTGTATGGATATTCAAATGACAGAGGACTCAGGCAGAATTTGGAGCCAATATGCCCAACTTGGTCTCTATTCATACCTCCAATTGTTGTTTTCTTTTTCCAGAGAAAAGCATAGGATAATGTTGTGGTTCAGTCATTAAGTTATGTCTGACTCTTTGTGACTCCATGGACTATGTCCATTGAGTTTTCTTGCAAAAGATACTGAAGTAGTTTGCCATTTCCTTTTCCAGCATGTTCTTCTAATTTTACAGATGAGGAACTGAGACAAATAAGGATTAAATGACTTGCCCAGAGCCACACAGCTAGTGTCCAAACCTGTGTTTGAACTCAAATCTTCCTTATCTTCTGGGCCCAGTGCTCTCTCTATCCATTGCACCACCTACTGCCCCCTTTGCTGTCTCTCAAAAAAGGCAAAATGTTCAACCACCTTCCCCTCAACTCTAGCTCACATCAGAGTAACTCAAAACCAATCAATCCACAAGAATTTACTATGAATGCTTACTATGTGTTAGACATTGTACTAAGGCCTGGCAATAGAAAGAAAGGCAAAAACATTCTGTGCTTTCAAGCAGCTTTGCAATATGATGGAGGAAACAACATATAAATAACCAGATACATAGGTGATAAATGCAAAGTAGAATGAAGATAACCTAGAAAGGAAAGCTTAAGCATCGGGCATGTCGCAAGCAAGCTTCCTTTAGAAGGAAGTATTTGAGTTGAGTCTTGAAGGAAGCAAAGTATGTCAAGAGGTGGAGATAAGAAGGTTGAGCATTTCATTGAAGGAGTACCAGGAAGCCAATATTCAAGTACAAAGATGGAGTATCACTTGTGAAGAACATGGAACGGGCCTGTATAGCTCAGTAGCAGAGTGCGTGGAGAGGAGGAGTGTACAAGAATCATGGAAAGGTACAATGAGACCAAGTTGTGAAGAACTGTGAAGAGCAGAGAAATTCTATTAGATCCTGGAAGTAACGGGGAACTACAGGATCTTACTGATCATGGGCATGATGTGGGCAGCTAGGTGACACAGGTCTGGAGTCAGGAAGACTCATCTTCTTGAAGTTCATATCTAGCCTCAGACACTTACTAGCTGTGTGAACCTGGGCAATCACTTAACTCTGTTTGCCTCAGTTCTTCAACTATAACATGAGCTAGAGAAGGAAATGGCAAATGACTCTAGCATCTTTGCCAAGAAAACTCCAAATGGGTCATGGAGAGTCAGACATGACTGAAAAATGATTTAACAAGAACAAAAATCATGTGGCCAAAAGTACACTCCAGAACAGGGATGGGGAACTTGAAGCCTTGAGGCAACATGTGGCTTCTAGGTCCTTGGGTGCAGCCTTTTGACTGAGTCCAAGTCTGTAGAAACATCCTTTTATTTAGGGGATTAGATCTGTGAAGTTTAGATTCAATCAAAGGGTCACACTTGAGGACCTAGAGGGTCACATGTAACCTTGAGGCAGCAGGTTTTCACCTCTGCTCTAGAATGATCACTTTGGCAGCTGATTAAAGGATAGACTGACATGGAAAGGACCAATCAGAAGTCTTTGTAATAGGCCTAGAGATGGTGAAGACCTGACCTAGAATGGTGACTGTATTAGTGGAGAGAAGGGAATATGTGGAGATGGAAATGACAAGATTTTCCAACTAATTGGAAATGTGGGGAAAGTGAGAGTGAGGATTTCAGGATAGCACCAAGATTGTGAGTCTGAGTAATTGGGAGGGTGGTAGTGTCTTCTACAGTAATACAGAAGTTTGGAAGGGGGAAGGTGTGTGAGGAGGAGAAATAACAGGAGATAATGAGTGTTATTTTGGGCTTATTGAGTTTGAGATGTCTATGGGATAGAAGGAGGGTTATATGACTCATCCACTCCCTATGGGAATCTTTCATGTCTTGAAGAATTAACTCTGTTAGGTCAGAGAATCTGCTGAGAAATTTATTGAGAGGTTGATGTAGGGGTGGGGAGACCTACAGAACTTTCTTAGAGAATACGTAATTTTGGCATCAGAATTTGAGATCTGACTTCAGCACAGGTCCTCTGACTCCAGTCCATCTTCTTGAGCTTGAGCTGGATGAAAGAGAACTAGGAGATCTAGGAGCCTTCCTAAGCTGTTTGGATGAAACATTATGGGAGGATATTCACATAACATGGAGTTTAGAGCAGGATGCAGAAGCCATGCCCAAACTGTTCTCTATCCATACTGCAGATTTTTTTCTCCTATTTTCTTTCAGTTGAGAAGACAACATTGCCATCTACCACAAAAGGTACAATGCTCTGCTACTCCCTTACTCCTTTCTACCAACTCTGAGTTTATTTGACAGCAGAAACCTTCCCAGGCCCAAGGTTGACCTTGTGGGATTCTTTCATCTCCAAGGAGATCTACTGTACCAGAATTCTGGGAAGCTGTGGAAAAGTTTGTGGGCTGGGGGTTGAGGTGTGGTTTGGGGGGGTCCACAGAATGTTATTCAAGAGAATATCACTCTTCTGCCAGTTTCCAGTTTGGAGATCTGGAACTCAGGCCCCATAAGGAAGGATGTTTCCTTCACTGTCCTTTCTTGGGCATGCAGGCCTAACCCAGTTCCCTCTACAGTGCAGTTGGGAGGGTTCCCCAGTTGGAGGCTCTTCAGATTGAGGGTGAGCCTCAGATTTCCCTCCTCTCTCCATACTAATCTCACTGAGCTGTCCTTAGGATGTTGACAACTTCTTCCATAATCCAGAGCCTTATAATTCTTCTTCTCCAAAGGATTAATCACTAGGACAGTTTCTGCCTCTTTGAACTCTGGCACATTCTCTCTGCTTGGGATCCTCTGCCTCATCTTAGGGGCCCTCCTCTTCCTGGTCCTCATCCTCCTAGGGATTCAGATGCACAGAGGGAGAATCCAGCAACAAGGTGGGCAACCCGTGGGGCACTGAACAACATGAGAAAGAGTGTGAGTGAATGAAGGGAGGAAATGAGAGGGATAGGGATTTTAGAAAAAGCCAAATAAAGCACTTCAGGACTGGATACGACACATGTTTTGCTCTGGTTTTCAAGGCCCATATAGCTCCAACTGACGTTGGCCCAGGAGAGTCTAAGCTGTGAACACAGAGCTTATGTTAGGTATGGGATTCCAGCCAAGGTCATACCTCATGGGCTGGGCAGAACAGGCATCCATATTAGAACTAGGGAGTTGCCTGAGTGTGAACAGAATGTAGATTGAGAAGGGCCCCTGAGACGAATACATGTGAGGTGATGGTCTCAGGCCCAGAGTTTCTGATGTATGGCCATTTGTCCCAGCTTTGTCCAGATATAGGGATTCTCTTTATGAAGCCGTGTACGAAGAGATTGATTACTACCTGACAGGGGACAAGGAGGACCTTCTGAGCAGCCCAGGTAAGCATACCTTCTGCCCAAGGTGAGCATGCTTCTCCCTTGGACACTCTGGACATGAATTATAAACTTTGGTCTGTATCAGAATCTATGGCCTTGGCATCTTCAGAAATCTCTGCCTATAGTTGCCTCCTGTGGTTCCCCCCTTCCCATAACATTTTACTTTCTATTTCTCATTCTTTACATGGGCAGGCAGGTCCAACAACCCAATTCGGAGCTCTGAACTTCATCTCTAGGGGGAAAATGCCCAGAGCTCTGTGTTCTTTTGGTTCTGATGTTCTTTGGTCACTCTGGGTCCCACTGATTATAGTGCCTACAAGTTCACGATAGGACCCTCATAATTTCAGGTCCAAAGAGGCAATGATTTCATTTCTCTAAGAGGATAGCCAACTCAATAGAACTGATTCACACCATTATACCATTCCCTCTACATCTGGAGCTTTCTTGGTAAGAACAGAATTGGAGCAAAAAGACTTGAGTGTCCCAAAAAGATAGTAACATGAAACCATGGATGAAATCCCCTTCCATACCGTTAGGACTTTTCCATCCACATGCATGGTACTGATCTTTATGAGCAGAGCCACCTCTCTCCTGGCCAGCCCTGACACCCTCACTCACTCACAAACTTTCAGTTTTCCACACTTTTTCCCCGAACCCTGCATGAAGAACAATATCCTTCTCTTAGGGCAACATGACCCATGACATGCTGCAATACTTAGAACATAGCTTGTTTTACATTACTAATGTCTCGTCAGTCAAGTTCTTACCAGCCAAACATGGAGACTTCCAGGAAGGTGGCATGAGAGTTTCTGTCATGTTTGGGAGGTCCCTTAGTCTCACCAGAACACTTTGATTAATTGTCTCAAAGAGTGACTTTTTTATCTTCATCACCAAAGCCTGGGAGTGCCCCTTCTTCCAGGTCAGCCTCCCTGGTGTCAGAACACATTGTCATGTTGTTCTGAATTCTGTGAATGGACCCAACCTGGGGCATGGGGAGGAAATGAGTTTCGTTTTCCTATTTGATTCTGTCATGCTCTTCTCATCAGGCTCTGTTCTGCACAATGTGAGAGACAAGCTTCCATAGTATATAGGGGAAAATGAAGGGAAAAGCCAACCTGCACTTTCCTCAAGTAACAGGAAAGGGCAGGCCTAAAGGCAGGAATTGATGGTTCAAAAGGAGTTTTCTGCTCTGGGGGGCATTAGCTACAATACAACTCTGCTGTCCTCAGCTCCTCTTCGTCCCAAATTTCCTATGCCTCCCTAGGCCAGGCTTTTAAGAACACTCTCAATGGGAGCTGGATACTCTTTGTTTGACTACAAATATGTGCTTGGTAGATAGAGATTTGGACTGAGGCAAGGGAAATGATTCAGGGCAAGGAAGAAAGGGAGCCAGGTTTGGTTTAGAGAAATGAAATACCTGAGAGGGGCATAGGGCTTCATTTCAGGGTCAGAATAATGATCAAAGAGGCATCAGAATCTGGAGGATAATTCAGGGAATCAGCTTACTCTCTCTTGTGTATTCTGTCTCAGGGTCACCATCACCAGAGCAACATGAATGAATCATGACAGGGTTGAAGGTTATGGTCTAAGTGATTTCCTCCTTGAAGATGGGGTCAGTGATAAGCAGTGAGGCAATAGAAATTGAAAGAGGAGGATTTTGAAGCTAAAAGAAATGAAGAGGAAAATAACAGTAAGGGGACTGAAATCATTGTCCTATATGAGGGAGCATTTGTCCCCTTTCCCACCTTGGTGATTCTTAGTGCAAGGTCAGGTCCCTAACCCTCAGTAGTCTTATTTTTCAGTTGAATTCGGCTTTGAACACCTCCTGACATTCCTTTCTCTCTTAAAAAAAAGCATATTTGTTTTCACATTCACAAGGACATTCCCTTACTTACAGTAAAATGTTGTTGAAAACAAAACTATCATCCCTCCCTCAGATATCTCAAGTCAGCCTGATGATACACCAGGTGATGGGTATGATGATGCTGAAGAATTATCTGGGCCTGAAATTCCCCCTGTCACCCAGATGAATGAGGAGGTTACTCTGGGGCCAACCAATGAATGGGATGAGTACAGGGCATCACACACAGGTGAGTGGTTCCCAGTAGACTTATTGACCCAACCAGTGAGATTTCCAGCCATGAGTGAACTTATTTTGGAAGATGAGAAGTTGACACTACCTATATACACATGTGTATAAACACAAATGTGTCTATATACAGATGTATTTGTATATTAAAATGTGTGCATACATGTATGTGCACGTACACATACATGCATATACATTCAAGAGTATAGATACATGTCTCTCCATATGTGTATATAAATATATACATACAGATATGACAAAAAGATTTTGTCAATACATCAAGAATTCTCTGTATTGACATTTTTTCATGAATATACCAGGGACAGCTTGTACCCACAGTGATGTGATTAAGCAACTCAATGAGCAGACCCTGGGGTTCTGAAGCTGCCTCCTCCATTCTCCCATTCCCTTTGACTCCAACCCACCCTCAATGTCAAGAGAAGCCCTTCCATAGCCCTCTCTCAGTCCTGGCCATTTCTGTTCCCTTTCCTGTCCATGGTGCATTTAGACGGAGAAAAGACTCTGTACCCAGGTCTTGAAGGTGGCCTTCTTTTCACCCACCTGTACCATCACCAAAGGCTCGTTACTTTTCTTTAGACACAGCTACAAATTCAGCTCTACTTTACTGGTTCTAGGTCAGTCTCCTAAGTTCCTTGGGGGATCCCCTGACTCCAGGATGGGAGAAGATGACCCACCAATGATCCCAGAGGACCTGGGATATGATGAAGCTGAGATTGGTGTCCCACAGATGTCACTTTAAGAACATCAGCTACAAACAGTCTCTTAATAAATGTTTATTGAATTGGAGTGGAGTGCAATCAATTTCTTGTGATACTTGAAATAGTTTTAGAATTCACCTGCCCTCCAACACTCTATCCTAAGGGGACAATGTTGAGGGTTTCCTCTCCACCCCTTCTCATGTAGTGAACACCTCTCCACCATCCTGAACTCTCCCACCAGGGTGAGATTTTTGCCTCTATCAAAAGTGCTTCTCCTTCAGGACCTTTAATTCTGAAATTTCCCTCTTTCATCCTCCTTCTTTTCCTATATCTTCACTCCTAAACCTTTCTTTACCTACATCTTATTCTCTAATCTCCTAATCTCTATATTTTCTTTCAGTCCTTTACCCACAGTATGACTTCATTTGTCTTACTACCCTTCACTAATAAAATGATCAGCCTTCTCAACTGCTCAGAAAACTTCTGTGTAAGCAAAGACGCTTTATGAAGAGTCCAGGCATGTTCTCTGGGCTATAGAGAACACACCTCTACAGAGAAGCACCTTCCCTGTTGAATTACCAGACGATAGAAAACTGAGGCAAACAAGGTTAAGTGACTTATCTGGGGTCACACAGCTAATAAGTATCTGAGGCCTTATTTGAACTCAGGTCTTCCTGACTCCAGGAAGTTTCAGTAGTTTCAGTCATTTCCAACCCTTTGTGCCTCTATTTGGAGTTTTCTTGGCAAAGATACTGGAGTTATTTCCCACTCTATCCACTGTGCCATCTAGCTGCCCCAGTGGCATCTCACATGTCATCTCTAATTCATCCTAGCCTATATCAAGCTGCTAATTTAGCTTAATTAGGATTGGATCTACTTCTACATTTTTCTCTCCCCTGTCCCTAAGTTTTAAAATATGAATCAATAAATACCTTGTCTAGAGCTCAAAACACCACGCCCAAAAGCCATCCTGGTGAATATATTTGTAGCACAAAATCTTTGATTTCCTTGCTTGGCATTTTACTGCTACTTCTTTCCACTACTCTTTCCAGTAATGAGACACAAAGATTAGCAGTGTAATGGTTGACACTTTTTCACAGAAAAGCAACAACAGAAAGAAAACAAAATCTTCAGAAATAGGGCACCAACGTGTAGAGCCACATACACAGTGGACATGTGTGTCCAGGGAATGCTCATGGAGAGGCACACAGATGAGGAACGTGTGTGGCCAGAGTACAGTGTGGAGGGATAACTAATTGATCCACCACTTCAGGGCCAATGGTGTCTTCCTGTGATGTCATTGCCCTGCTCCCTGCTGGTCCTGTAGTCTCTCTACTGGACGTGGCTCCATGGACACAAGATCTGTACCACTCAATGCTAAAATGTAGGTCTTGGAAGTTGTTCTGCCAGTTGTCAGAGGATGTTCTGTCAAATGGAGCCATCTCCAGCGGACACCAGTTGAAATCCCCGGTTATATTTCTTTGGAGAGAGTAGGGAATTGCTGAAAGGCCTCTCATTTCCCCTGCAAGAGATTCTCAGCCACAGGTACCAAGCTCATTAGAATAAAGATGAGGATTCTCCTGGCTATCTAATGCCCCACAGCTCTTCCTGATTCAGGAACTTGTTTCCCTGACTTCACCATAGCTTATGGTAGACATGTCATACACCTCCCAATATCCAATGACTTAAAGTCTACACCACAAACTAGGGAAAGATTATCTGCCCAATATCTGGGGCAGTTAGGTAGTGCAGTGGTAAGAGTGCTGGGCCTGAAGTCAGGAAGACTCATCTTTCTGAGTTCAAATATGACCTCAGACACTTACTAGCTATGTAGCTCTGGGCAAGTCATTTGACCCTGTTTGCCTCAGTTTCCTCATCTGTAAAATGAGGTAGAGAAAGAAATGGGGAATGGCTCCAGTGCTGCCAAGAAAACACCAAATGGGGTCAAGAGGAGTCATACACAGCTGAAGACTAGTCAACAACAAAAATCTTCTCTTCCCACATGGTTGACTATGCTAGTGCATAGCTGGTTAAAAGAACTACTAATAAAGTCTGACAAGTTCTTGCCATCTCATTCCAAATGTATTGTTAAAAAAGGTCACTTGACATCAATTGTCAACATTTACGTTGTCTATGAATTTCAGAAAGTAATAACTACAGGAGAAGAAGGAGAATCGCTAGATTCCTAGGGAATGGGGGATAGTTTAGCTTGCCTACTTTACTTCCTGTTTCATAGACTTTAGCCAGAGGAGGATTGGAGAAAAGAGACAGCAAGGCCACTAGGTTTCCTCCAAACAGCTGAACTGGAGTACCTGGGTGCTCTAATTGTAAATTCCAGGGGCATTTTTTTCAGGTAGCTGGAAATGGAGAGATTTTAGAAAGGGGAAGCAAGGTGATCTTGAAAGGGGGTGGAGAAAGTAGGTATGAAGACAATGCTGAGAAAAACAAAAGAAGCCCTTGGAAAAGTTTGAGAAATGTAGTGAGACTATAAACTGAAGGCAAAACGGATTAGCCATTGTGGTGGTGACCAGAATCAGAGAGACTGGCACTTCCAAGAACTCTAGAGTAGGTTAGGTCAGCTGGAGGCTTGCCAAGCAGCCTTTCTCCTCTGGTTGCCTCAGAGTACTTGGCTTACGCAAACCTCTAAAGCCTGCAGAACCTTTCCCTTCCCCAGCTGCCCTTTGAAAAGAGATATAATGAATAGGGAGTCCAAATGCGATGAGGCTGCAAGAACAAAGATGAAAGGAGTTTTCTTTTTCTTTTTTCGCTTTTTGATAACTGGAGGCATCTTCCAGATCCTATTTCTGTGTATAGAGATTGGGAGTCTCTGGAGAGAGCTGAAGAAGGTGGATCGCTGGGCTAAGTAGGGGTGGTGGTGGTGGTAGGGGGAGTTGGTTTCATGAATGTAATAGGAATGCTATCTGGTGGATAAGGACATATGTCTCTTAATCTCATAACTGTGTGCCTCCCTACTGTTCTGTGTAAAAGACAGAAAGAAGAGTATTTGAATAATGAACCAGGTATAAGTAGGTATAGCTCTGGCAGCACCACTTTGGGCTGTGTTTTAGAGGGAAGCATGAGTCTTGATTTACTCAGAGACCACAATGAGTCCTCTATGCTGCAGACCTGTATAAGTGGGCACAATTTGTTGGATGTTATAAGAGAGAACTTGAGGGTCATCTCTTAGGATTGTGACAGAAGGGTTGTGAAAAAAGGTATAGACATTGAAAGGTGAACAGGAAGCCTCTTAGAGAGGTAGGCATGTGAGGATGAGTCAGAACCTCCTTATGTCCTTTCATTCACAACATGCACCCCCAAGAGACTGTTGAGAGTGCGCTCTCCCTTCCAGGGGTAAGATAGTTCAGTCTCTCCTTGATTAAGCTGGTATCTTATCTATCTCTCAGTTGAAGTTCTCATTTACTCTTGTGTATTCTTTGGTACATTTTAATCTACATAACGTTTCTAACTGCTATTTACTTTCAGATTTAGATAAAGCGTTTATTCACTGTTTTCTAATCATGGCTGTCTTTTGATTAATCAGTATTTGATGGGATAGTGATAAACTAACAATGTTAAATTAAACTCACCATTTTCCTCCTTTTGAAAAAGACATGTTGTGGCATCTTTTTGACTGGGACTCTTAAAGCATTGTAAACCTAGACTGGAAGTATAGAGGTGTGGTGGGTGAATATAATTCTAGCCTAATAACCTCTCTTGGAGATAGGTAAAAAAAGGAAGAAGCATCTTCCAACCATTTCCTTTGTTGTTGTTTGTCCTTTCTCAAAGAGGACTATGACATCAGGAAGGTGATTCTATGACTTGCAAGTGAATTGGATTTAGGTGAGGGAAGGCTGTGCATAGTCACTTTTTCTCTGGAGTCATGTGGTCCAATGGTAAAATATAGATCAAGATGAGTGGAGATGGGTACCAACCCCTCCATTTCTATGCTCTTCTCAAAGGTAGAAATAGCTGGCTCCCTTGGAGAGGGGTGGGCCAAGTTGTATTTCACATATCCATAAATTCTTTCTTTCTTGATCTCCCCCAATGAGAAGAGTCCTATACAAATGGGCTTTGAGCAATGGGTTATAATAGATAGCGGTCATATATCTCTTATACTGAGAAAGCTGAAGCTAGAAGCAGCTCACTCTGAAATCGAGAATGATTTACATGAAGCTTCTAAGGGGGAAGAAGAATGGAAGTCTGTGTGGACAAAATTTACCTTGTCAATCAAAAGATATGGAGACACATAGTAAGATGGCTTTAAAGGGTCTGTCTAAATTCA